TGTAAGTGTCTACATTTTTATGTTGGCTCTTTGAAACTGAATTCTGCTGTAGTGGATTGTTTTCTGATTCCATAAACATATTAATACTTCAATAATTTTTAGTTACTGTTGAGAAACATTTTATGCTAGGAAGTTCATCTTTCTTCTGTTCTTTTTTGTGCCAATAAGCAATCATTTAAAATTTCTAAACTGATTAAACTGTATAGATTCACTATCTTTTCTTTTTGTGCCTCCATGTTCATATGATGATAAATTAATCATTAGCCTTTAATACTACATTTCACCCTCATCTCAAGAATGTTGAGAGTTGTTATTGCTGTCCTGATTTGGAGACCAGTCATATGATTTCTGTTTTAATGTTTTAATCCTGTACTGCAGTTTTATATATGAGGATTTTTACAATTTATATGCAAGACACATTCTGTGGTTTGTTTATTCTGTTGCCTTGTGAACCTTATTTTTATATGTAGTTATCCTTTTTTTAAAATGGGCAACTCAATTCACTTTTGTGCTTTATTCATTTGACCTGAAATATTAAAATTGCGATAAAGTTACAAATTCAGTATGAACCTGCTTGATTCTTTTCTGATACATTCTCAGGCCTATAGGAAGTTGATGTTTAACCAGTTTCTAAAGACTAGCTTACTAGCTTTTGTAGGCATTCTTTTGGGTAAATTGCTCATGTGTTCTATAACTGATTTCTCATAATGGTTAGCCAATGAGCCATTCATACATTTCCCTTCTTATATCTGAAGTTACTGGAAGTGTCCACGTGCAGAAATAGGTTTTGGTGTTATTACTTTGTATGCAATTCTTTTTCTTATTATTTACAAGTAAAGTCTGTAGAATTGGAGAACAATGTCACTTGCACCTTGAAGGATGTCTGAACAAAATACTTATGAAAAAAGTATGAAGAATGTATGGCTTGTTTTGGCTTCAGTAAGGCATAGACAGATTCTATACTCTGTAAACATACATGATCTCAAGACTTGTGTTTCAAGCACTTATAATCTCTTATTTTGTTGAAAGTTTGTAGAACTAGTGTTTCATATCAACATGGTTACTTGGCTATTGGACTCTTCTTTTACTAGAAATTAAAAAATATCTTGTTTTTACTGAATATGGCCTTCTAAATTAATGGTCCATTACATTCCTTTATTTAAAGCTTTTCATATTAGATCTAGAACTCTAAAATACAATATTGTGATATTCAAATATCAGGGGTTTGTTTTTTGACTCGTCTTTCGTCCCACTTTCTCTCACTTAGCTCTATACTATTTGCCAGTTACAACAAATTAAAGAGCAACAGTGGTCTAGAATGGAGAAAGGTTAAAATATCATTGTTTTTATACTCTAACTTTATCTTCACTGAGTATCTGCTGACTCATGATCAGAGCAGAAAATATGTCAGGCGAAACTCAGGTGAGAAATAGGTCTTTAATATTTTCTGCCCTTCTTCTCTCTTCTGGAGAAATCCAGTAAAGAGATATCAAGACGTCAGCAAGAATAATAACCCACGATGCTTCTATGTCCTCACTTTTTTTTTTTTCCTACTTGGATAATTAAATCTTACACAAGATCATTAGTCTTGCAAGATGTTTCTATTCTACTGTAACAGCTGGCTAGGGAGTTGGAGAAGCTAAATTGCTCCCCTTATTGGCATGGCCTCAGGTAGCTAGTAGCAAGAGGGAAAAAGCCCAGTGTAGCCTACTTAGAAGATTAAAAAGAAGACTACCTCATAATGTGTGAAGGAATAACAGTTGTTCCTTTTAGGGAACGTAAAATTACAGTAAAAATATCTTTTTCTATTGCAAAGAAAATTGAAATAGAAAACTATGTTATCTTATTCCTGGCAATCTGGTCTTTTCCCACTGGCAAGATGTGAATTCAAGCTGGCTGCAGCAAACCTTAAAGACGTAGATTGTTTCATAGCAAAGATGGGTTGTGTTAGTGTTTAGTAAAGGATCCACAATCAACTACTGTAATTGTGAAATTGTGGGGTTTATTTTAACTGTTCTTAGCATACTACTTATTTCTAAAAGTTTCAAATTTTCACTTTTATTGTTGTTGCCTTAGACTTAGCATTGTCAGGCTTAGACTTTTGTCAATATATATGGATATTCCTAAAAATCACTTCAGTTTCTTATGATACTTCTGCATAATCTGTCTTGGTTGATTTGGTGGGGTTTTTTTTGTTTTTGTTTGTTTGTTTTGGTTTGGTTTGATTTTATTCTTTCTTGGTTTTTTTGTTCTTCTTCAGATAAATTTTACAGTAATGTTCAAATATACGATTTAGCTTTCATGGAATATATTTAGTCCTTTGCCTGCAGTTTGCTAATTAATTTAAAGTTTAGGCTACCTTTAAGAAGAAAGAACTAAGTATGCAAGGCTTTCTGCATTTAAAGTAAATTAGTTTCTCTTCATCATTCCCTTTTTTATTTAAATATTTCTCTTGATGCCGACAATTAGGTGTGCAATTGTATTAGCTTTTGACTGCATGTCCCTGGGAATTGTATTGTATCATTGTAGTTCCATTTTCTGGACCATTTAAATCATGCAGTTTGAATATATATATGTGGCAAATATTACTTATCCCCTGCATTACAGATCCTACATAATTACTAGTTGTAAGTTATTTGTTATGTGCCCCTCAACTTGAATCATTTAAATATCTCTTTTTTATAAATTTTCTGGAAAATAGTGTTAATATTATTGATAGTATATCCTAAAAGTGTGCTCTTGAACTTTGATTTAGTTGCATTTTGATGCTGAATTGTTTGCAGCCTATCAGTTACTTCCTTTTGTGTTAATTTGCAAAACATACTAATAACTTCTGGGAAACTTCAAGGCTTCATAATCACTATTCCATACTCCTTATGAAAAAGAAGGTTAGTACAGGTCATAGTTATTTACTTTTTGTAGCAGCTTTGTAGTGTTATGTGTCAATTAGCAGTTATTTCACATTTCCTGTTAAGTAATTCACAAGCTGAATTTCTAGGACAGTGGCATAGTTGGTAGCAGAGTGATTTCCACTTGAATTTGTGAAGAGTGGATGCTTTTTAAGTGACAGATCTTGTTGAAGATTTCTAAAATGTTCTAGTCAAGTTAGTGTGTCAAATTGATTTCTTTTACCATCTCTTACTGAAGTAATTGGGTGTTCTCTGATGTAACAGTGCTGCATGTGTGTGTCAGCACAGCACATGACATCTGTCTGGTGCTGTTACAGGTTGTGGTGCAAAAGTGAGGCTAAATAAAGTACTGAGTCATTCAGTGCCTGAGATTATAGTTATGTTAAGTGCATTTTGAAAAAAAAATTACCTCGCTGAGGTCATACAGTTCCCAATGTTCAACACTTCTTGTCTGTTGGGAAACAACTGGTAATTTCTGCATTTTCCCATATTTGTATGTGATTTGATTTCTAAACAAAATCCAATTAACTCTGAAAACTGTATATATGTGTTTCTTGTTTCTTAACAGCACAACTTGGAGACTATAATGCTTCAGTGCATTGCTCAGGATATCTTTCAAATTACAACTTTATACCGGAGCAGAACAAAGATTTTCTTACCAAAGTAGAAACGCTACATGAGCAACACAGGTAATGTCAACTTTTAGTTCTCTCTTACCTCTTGAGCTTTTAAAGAAAAAAAAAAGATATCAAAAGGAAGACTCGAGTTCTTAGTAGTTACATTTCAACAGTCAGTTGTATTTCATATAGCTTCTGTTAAATTAAATACTTGGGTTTATCATAGAGATGCTAGATAAATTATATTCAGAGTGCAATGCTAATTTGTTGAAACATTTAAATAAATGTCTAGTTATAATCTCCAAGTGATTAGTTAGCCTTTAATATTATTAAAGGCAACAATCTAGAACACTGTACTAGATTTTTGAAGGGTTTGCTGCATAAAGGACATTTGATCATTTTTCAAATTCTACAGATGTTTTTTGTCTATATATGTGGAAAAACTCCAAGATATGCCATAACAATAAAACACTTCAATTAACTTGGTGCTTTCACTCCCCTCTCCTGAATGTAATGCAAAGGCTGCAACAGATTATTCCAGTCAGCGTGCTGCTGTTTATTTTTTCTGACCCTGCTGATTTGTCCCTTGTAAGTCTGCAGCTTTGGAATTAGTGGTGTTGATCAGATACTTGCAAGCTGAATGCAAATATACCAATCTAAGAAATTGTCTGTGAGCAAATGAAATGCAAATCTCTGTAGGCTTGTTTTCTCTGTCTGTATCTTAACTGCAGCAGAGCTAATTCCCCGCTCTCTTAGTTTCTTTGATTTATATCTTGAAATATTTCCATTTTCATGTCTTCTTAATGTCCCTCAGCTGTTTTTTTCTCATCTTTCAATACTCTTGCTTTTCCCTCTGGTTTTTTTTACTCCTAGTGGGTGTCGTGAGTACTTTTGAACTTCACGTGTGCTCCCTAGTTGTCTAAAGCAGGCATTGTCATTTATGGGGCAAAAGAAGATAACCACTGAAATCTTGACTCCAACTGTCCTTTCTGTTGGAGACACTAATCTGGACTGCTTTCCAAACAGTTTGTGTTCAGGCACACAATTGCTGATGCTTCTACTCCTTCCAAATTAATTGGCAGTTTCCAGTAGGCTCAGTAGTTTTTTGAGGGGGTCTTTTAGACACGAATGAATAAGCCTGCTTGTCTTAGGAAGCAGTCACCTTGGAGACCACTGAGGGAAGTTTCTGAAGAGTCTTGGAGTGACTGGTCATGTATTTAATACTGTGGTAGCAAGTGATATAAAACTGGTTATGTTCTGCAGAGGAAAGATCAGAAGTTTGCATTGGTCCGGACTAAGGTGTGGTGGTGTCTGTTGGAAAGACTCCTTTCTTCTGTGTCCTTTCAGTGATATCAATGCTTTCATTGAGTGTCTTTGGTGGGGTGAAGCCTTCATGGTTGAGAAGTTTAACTTCTGTATTGGAATTAACAGAGATGTTGGTAATTGAAGGTCTGAATAAATATACTGAGTAAAGTGAACTGGAAAAAATTTTTCTTTATTGTTTTAACATGTCTTTTGAAACTTAGCTCTTAAGGCCAATTTACTTTAGAGTACAAGGAGAGGCAGACATATTATTGTTTATCCTGGCAGTATTTCTTGCGTACTCCTTTGGCATTTGTGTGTCTCGGACATGAATTTGACTAGATCGGTGCCAAGAAAATACTTGACAAGAATGGTTCTGGTGTTCACTAGAGCTGCTGGGAAGGAAAGATGGAAAGGAAGAATTTACTTTTTTACCCTTTGAGAGAACATTGTTGCTTTGGAATGAGATTTCTGCTTGTCTGGAATAAAAAATACTTCTGTAAACCATATAGGTTATATGTAAATTATTATAGCTTTGAAATTGGTATTCTTATATTAGTGTGTTTCAAAGCCAACCCTATAAACATCTATGCTTTTTTCATTCTTTAGTATCTATCCTTTGGAAAACTTTCACAATGGAAAAGAAAAAGGTTTGAATTGCTGAAATACAGACTTGAGACAAGTTATGTTGTGAGTTATGTGTTGTAACTCAGTGCAAAGCTTTTGTTACCTAGGTCTTACTCTGCTTTTCAAAATCTGAGGAAGTATTCCCTGAACAACTCCATGCCACACTGTTTAGTGGACATTATGTAGCTTTTAAGAAAGCAGCTATTGTCATATTGAACTGATATAGCTTCAGAAATTTTCCTTCTGTGTTCATCTCTAAATCCATAGGGGGATTTTTCTGTATGTAGTTGGTTCTAATGTGGTTTTTACTGCTCTGTTTTGCTTAGTAACATAAGCAGCCCGAGATCTTAGGATGCAGATAGTGTCCAAACTGGTAAGGTTTTCACAGTGCTTGCTAGATCCAGCCATCAGTTAGAAGAGAAGAATGCATTTGAAACTAAATATATTGCAGATGAAGTTTGCTAGTCCTTGGGTATCAACAACTATAAAAATTGGAACATCAAGACCAATTTCCTCTTGCCTGTTTATCTCACTGAATAATTACCATCTGCTTAGGGACCTGAAGGTTTCGTTTCACCTCTAATTGAGTAGAAGAGTGTAACAACAATGAGTAAAAAACCTATGTCTGTGCTGAGATACTTGTTGGCCCTTCAAGACCCAAGGCATGACTGGTCTGGTGTAGATGGCATATACAAATACAGAATTAAAATGCACAGGCATATCTTGTTAGTGTACAGCAAGCATATCTTGTTAGTGTTCTGAACAAAGTACTTGATCAAATTATTTAAAATGTCACTAATATACTCTTCCAAACATATTCGGCATCCTGTTATATAACAAAATGGCCGTTTCACATCATTTGCTTCTATAATTTTCTGACACAGTGAAAGATACAGGGTCTGCTAAAGTTCTTCAGAATCAAGTGACAATGGTCAGTGTACATATAGCTCTGAGAAACCAGTTTAGCTCAGGATTGTGATAAACAGCAGTTTTCTTCATCTTTGCTTTCTTTTTTCGTGATATTATGCCATCCTCAAGCCATGCTGGCCACTGGTTTCCAGTTCAAGGTAGCTTTCAACTTTCTGCAGTATGATGTAATATTTCCTAGAGTGGCTGTTTCAGGGCATTGTATTTTGATGGCTTTGCATTTAAAAAGAGGGATATTAATTGGAAGTATTAGATGCTGGAGCTCTTAATATAACTCAAATGTTCCGTCAGCTTTTTGCAGGTTGTACCTAAATTTAATTTGATTAATGTAATTTTATGCATGTTGTTTGGGAAGTTTATCTAGCAAATAGTTGTTTTTACCTGTACTTATAGAAGCTTACTTGAAGACAGGGAGGTCAAATGCTTTTATGATTTCAATGTCTTACCTGCAGGAGAAAAAAAAATTTTAGGACTTACGGATTTTAGGTAAACTTAGATGGCTTTTCTTTTGTGAGTTTCATTACTTTAATATTTAATCTGATCTCTCCCCTTTATTTTATTAGTGCATTCATGCTTCTTATCTTTCTTCTACATGACTTCTTTCTAAGAGACTATGAAATATACAATATTTACAGATGCAGCTTCTTACTAAAATGTCAGATTTTATAGGGAAATTGTTTCCTTGTCCCTTTGAACATAACAGATAGCAAAGATTTTTATAAAAAGAGCTTGTCCAGAGTGGCTAACGGAATAAAATCATGTATAATTCACTCATTTTTTTGGGAGTACTTTAGCAGGGCCTTCACCACTAAAGAAATTATGGCACTACTTCATGTGAGGTTTTTGTTTGAGACACTTAATTTCAGCATTCTTCTGGTTTTATGCATTTGGAATAAATATGTTATAATATCTTTTACTTTTGCCTTGTCTGTGGCTCATAGTTATTATTTTTTTCCCTTCTTGTAGTGGCCTCAAGCAATCTGAAGCAGAGTCCTGCTATATAAATATAGCAAGAACACTTGAATTCTATGGAGTGGAATTGCACAGTGGTAGAGTATGTTTACATTGTAATTTTTCCCTTGGAAAGTAAATTTATATGCTTTTTTTTTACATTAATTAATAGCAGTAAAAAAAAGTAATATTTAAGCACTGACTTTATCATGTGTTCTTTTTAAGTAGAGGTGGTTAATTTTTCAGTAACTTATGTGACCTTTCATGTTGCTGGAAGGCTGTATGACCTTTGAGCACCTTCCAGATGCTGGAAATTCAACCAAATAAGCTAGAGCTGCTCAAAAGTGTAACAAAATATTTTTAAGATAAACTATTGAATTACTGCAGTATATTTTACATTAGGTTTCTGATTTTACAAAGGTTTCTGAGTTCCTTAGTATGAGAGAAAATGAAATGCTCTGTTTAATGCTATTAGTTGGCAGGTGTTTTAAGAGTTTAATTTCTCTGAATTTCTAGCACTAATTTCCTAAGTGTTAAGAATATAGAGGTTTTGTGGTGTGGTGTTTTTTTTTTTTTTTTTTTTTTTTTTTTTTTTTTTTTTTTTTTTTTTTTTTTTTTTTTTTTTTTTTAAATTCCTTTGTTCCCTGATTCCAGGCTAAATCTAAGAAGTATT